TTGTCAAAGGCTTTTTCAGCATCTAGTGAGATGATCATGTGGGTTTTCTTTTTCAGTTTGTTTATATGGTGGATTACATTGATGGATTTTCATATGTTGAACCATCCTTGCATCCCTGGGATTAAGCCTTCTTGATCATAGTGGATATTTTTCTGATGTGTTCTTGGCTTCAATTCGCCAATATTTTCTTGAGTGTTTTGCATTGATGTTCATGAGGGATATTGATCTATAGTTCTCTTTTTTAGTTGTATCTTTGTGTGGCTTGGGTATCAAAGTGATTGTAGCCTCGTAAAAAGAGTTTGGTAGTGTCCCTTCTGCTTCTATTGTGTGGAACAATTTGAGGAGTACTGGTATTAGCTCTTGTTTGAATTTCTGGTAGAATTCTGCAGTGAAGCCATCTGGCCCTGGGCTTTTTTTTTTTTTTTTTTGGGTTTTTCGGGACAGGGTTTCTCCGTGTAGCTGTGGAGCCTATCCGGGCACTCGCTCTGGAGCCCAGCCTGGCCTCTAACTCACATAGATCTGCCTGCCTCTGCCTCCCTTGTGCTGGGATTAAAGGCATGGGCCACCAATGCCCGGCATTTGAGAAGTACTGATATTAGCTCTTCTTTGAATTTCTGGTAGAATTCTGCACTGAAGCCATCTGGCCCTGAACTTTTTTGGTTTGGAGACATTTGCTAAGTGATACCTATCCAGAAATACATCCATTTCCTTTAAATTTCCCAATTTTGTTGAAGTATGGGTTTTCAAAGTATGACCTGATGATTTTCTGGATTTCCTCAGTGTCAGTTGTTATATCCCCTTTTTTGTTTCTGATTTTGTTAATTAGCATACTCTCTCTGCCTTTTGGTTAATTTGGATAGAGGTTTATCTATCTTGTTGATCTTCTCAAAGAACCATCTGTTTTTGTTTCATTGATTCTTTGTAATGTGTTCCTAGTTTCTACTTTATTAATTTCAGCCCTGAATTTGCTTCTTTTGTTCTAAAGCTTTCAATTGTTCTGTCAATTCTCTAGTGTGACTATTTTCCAGTTTCTACATGTGGGCACAGAGTGCTATGAACTTTCCTCTTGGCACTGCTTCCAGAGTGTACCATAAGTTTGGGTATGTTGTGTCTACATTCTCATTAAATTCTAGGAAGTCTTCAATTTCACTTTTTATTTTTCCTCGACCCAGCAATGGTGCAATTGAGTGTTATTCAATTTCCATTTGCTTTTATGTTTTCTGCAATTTGTATTGCTGTTGAATTCTAATCTTAAGGCGTGGTGATCTGATGAGATACAGGGGGTTATTTCAATTTTTTTTTGTATCTGTGGAGGTTTGCTATGTTGCCAAGTATGTGTTCAGTTTTAGAGAAGGTTCCATGTGGTGCTGATATGAAGGTATATTCTTTTGTGTTTGGATGGAATGTTCTATAGATGTCTGTTAATCCCAATTGGGTCATAACTTCTGTTATATCCTTTGTTTCTTTGTTAACTTCTGTTTGCTACTGTCTAATGGTGAAAGAGGGGTGTTGAAGTTTCCTATTATAAGTTTGTGTGGTTTTATGTGTGGTTTGAGCTTTAGTAATGTTTCTTTTACAAATGTGGGTGCCTTTATATTTGGGGCATAGATGCCTAGGATTGAGACTTCATCTTGATGGACTTTTCCTATGATGATTATGAAATGCTCTTCTTCATCTATTTTGATTGATTTTAGTTTAAAGTCTAATTTGTTGGTGCTTGTTTTTTGGGTCCACATGGTTGGAAAATCTTTTCTCAACTCTTTACTCTGAGGTAATGCCTGTCTTTGAAGTTGAGGTGTCTTTCTTGTATACTGCAAAAGGATGGATTCTATCTTCTTATCCATTCTGTTTGCCTGTTTCTTTTTATAGGCAGGTTAAGACCATTGACATTGAGGGATATTAGTGTCCACTGATTGTTGGTTCTTGTTTGTTTTCCGATTTGTTGGTGGTGGTGTCATTGTGTGTGGATTTCGCCCTCCTGTTTCTTTTCCTGTTTGGTGAAGTTGGATTATCTATTACCTTCGTTTTTGTGAGTGTAGTTATCTTCATTGGGTTGGAGCTCTCCCTCTAGGACTTTCTGTAGTGCTGGATTTGTGGATATGTATTGTTTAAATCTGGTTTTGTCATGGAATATCTTGTTCTCTCCATCTATAGTGATTGAAAGCTTTGCTGGGTACAGTAGTCAGGGTTGGCATCCATGTTCCCTTAGTGTTTGTAGGACATCTATTCAGGACCTTCTGACTTTCAAAGTTTCCATTGAGAAGTCAGGTGTGATTCTCATAGGTCTGCCTTTATATGATACTTGACCTTTTTCCTTTGCTGCTCTTAATATTTTCTCTTTATTCTGTAAGTTTGGTGTTTTGATTATTATGTGGCGAGGGGAGTTATTTTTGTGGTCCATCTATTTGGTGTTCTGTAAGCTTCTTATACTTTCATAGGCATATCCTTCTGTAGGTTGGGGAAGTTTTCTTCTATGATTTTGTTGAATATGTTTTCTGTACCTTTGAGCTGTATTTCTTCACCTTCTTGCATACCTATTATTCTTAGATTCAGCCTTTTCACGGTGTCCCATATTTCCTGGATATTTTGTGTTAGAGATTTGTTGGACTTGAGATTTTCCTTGGTCTGTAACTGTATATCCTCTAGCAAGTCTTCAACAATTGAGATACTGTCTTCCATCTTTTGTATTCTGTTGGTTATACTCACAACCTTAGATCCTGATCGTTTATCCAGCCTTTGTATTTCCAACATCCCCTCATTCTGTGTTTTCTTTACTGTTTCTATTTCAGCTTTCATGCCTTGAACTGTTTCCAGTGCTTCCTTCACTTGTTTGGTTGTTTTTTCTTTAGATTATTTAAGAGAATTACTTACTTCTTGAATTTTTTTGTTTGTTTTTTCTTCTATTTCTTTAAGAGATTTTCTTGTTTCCTCTTTAAGGTTCTTGAACATCTTCATGAAGTAGATTTTTAGGTCTGTCTCCTCTCTTCCTCTGTGTTGTGCTTTTCAGATCTTGCTGGTGTGGAGTCCCTCGATTCTTGTGGTGTCATATTGGTCTCTCGGTTGAGTGTGTTCTTATTCTGCCTTCTTCCCATCTCTTCTTCCAGTGGGTGCAGGTGGGGTCTCTCTGTCTCCTCTTGTCACTGGTCATGTGTGTGGGCCAAGACTTCAGTGTCTGCAGATATGAATAGTCTTGCCTCTCCTGGTAGTCTACTCACTCAGGAGATTTTAGGGTGCCAGAGGGGGAAGGGAGAGTGAAGTATTTCCAGATTCAAGGAGGTCCTTCCTGTCTGGGCAGGTCTACTCTATGCAGGTGGGTTTCTCTCTCTTCAGGCCCCAGAGATCCTGGGGTGATGAGGACCTTCGGCAGGAGTAGGGCTCAGGATCGAGTGTAGCTTTTTAGAATTTAATTTTTAGTTGTGTTTATCTTCATTTTCTCAGGTTGGGAAGGTCCACCTCCCCCTAGAGGCTGTGAAGTTTTTGTTGGAAAAATACCTCGTGATATGTATGAAGATGAATTGGTTCCTGTATTTGAAAGAGCTGGGAAGATATATGAATTTCGACTGATGATGGAATTTAGTGGTGAAAATAGAGGTTATGCTTTTGTGATGTACACTACTAAAGAAGAAGCCCAGTTAGCCATCCGGATTCTTAACAATTATGAGATTCGACCAGGGAAGTTTATTGGTGTTTGTGTAAGCTTGGATAATTGCAGATTATTTATTGGAGCAATTCCCAAAGAAAAGAAAAAGGAAGAAATTTTGGATGAAATGAAGAAAGTTACTGAAGGTGTTGTAGATGTGATTGTTTACCCAAGTGCAACTGACAAAACCAAGAACCGTGGGTTTGCGTTTGTTGAATATGAGTCCCACAGAGCTGCTGCAATGGCCAGGAGAAAGCTGATTCCAGGTAAGATAGCCTTTTCAAAAGTTACTTTACATATTAACCCCATTATAAATAGGGAAAAACAACAGTAAGTGATAGAGCATTATTAGTAAGATATAATGTCACTTGAGGAACATGCTTTGTTTTTTTCTTTTTTCGAGACAGGCTTTCTCTGTGGCTTTGGAGGCTGTCCTGGAACTAGCTCTTGTAGACCAGGCTTGTCTCGAAATCACAGAGATCTGCCTGCCTCTGCCTCCCAAGTGGAGGAATATGTTTTAACAAGGAAGTAAATGACTACAAGGTACAAGAAATTTTTTTTTTACAAGTTACATTTGCTAGTTACTGAATACATATATACTTTAACTGATACTTTAATGTGTATATAACTTTAACTTAGTTAATTATACTTAATCCAAATCCATAATGCATTATTTAATTCTAACAGTAACCAATCTTTAAAGTATTGTTTGTCTTTCCAACTCTTAAATTTTGTCGTAAGTTCTGATTAGGTTTGCTTTACTAAAAACTTTGGTGTGAGTAGGCACAAGTGGCTAATCAGATATATTGATACATGCTTGAGTTTCTTGGAGAAATTAATTGAGCTCTTTAAACTTGTATTCTTTCTTTTATTTAATTTCAAATCAATTTGTGCATTTTTTTTCAGGAACGTTTCAACTCTGGGGCCACACCATTCAGGTAGATTGGGCTGATCCAGAGAAAGAAGTTGATGAGGAAACCATGCAAAGAGTGAAAGTTCTCTATGTAAGAAATCTAATGATCTCAACTACAGAGGAAACAATTAAAGCAGAATTCAATAAATTCAAGCCTGGTGCAGTGGAAAGAGTAAAGAAACTTAGAGATTATGCATTTGTTCACTTTTTCAACCGAGAAGATGCAGTGGCTGCTATGTCTGTTATGAATGGAAAATGCATTGACGGAGCCAGTATTGAGGTAACACTGGCAAAGCCAGTAAACAAAGAAAATACTTGGCGACAGCATCTTAATGGCCAGATCAGCCCAAATTCTGAAAACCTGCTTGTATATGCTAACAAAGAAGAGAGTCACTCCAAAGCTCTAGGCAAGCCGCCAACTCTTCCCACTCGTCTCAACGGTCAGCATAGTCCAAGCCCCCCTGAAATTGAAAGATGTACTTATCCTTTTTTTCCTGGAACAAAGCTTACCCCAATTAGTATGTATTCTTTAAAATCCAATCATTTTAATTCTGCAGTGATGCATTTGGATTATTACTGCAACAAAAATAATTGGGCACCACCAGAATATTATTTATATTCAACAACCAGTCAGGATGGAAAAGTACTCTTGGTATATAAGATAGTTATTCCTGCAATTGCAAATGGATCCCAGAGTTACTTCATGCCAGATAAACTCTGCACTACACTGGAAGATGCAAAGGAGCTGGCAGCCCAGTTCACGCTGCTTCATTTGGGTAAGTAGTACATGAGGTGTTGACATCAGGGAATATGATAGATTACACAGTTGTTGATTTCAACTCTGAACGTTACTAGTGAGTCTTTAAATTTTTTCTCAGTTCTCTGAGACCAGAGCAGGACTGCAAGTTTAAAACTCATAATTAATTTCCTTGAGACTTGGCTCCTGTATAATTTTCCTACATTTTGCTTTCAAGCACTAATTACTGAGAGGGAAGGTGAGCTTTGGTTACAGAGTTTAGGCTCCATTTCGTTACTTTATTTTTTCTTAATGACTAATCATCATTTGATAATTTTTTATTGTATGTTACAGATTTTGTTATGTGAATCAAATTTTAATTCTGTCCTTGTATCTTTGGTGAGGTTGACACATGAATTTTTAGTGGGACAGGTTAGAGATTCATAAAAATCACAGATGTATCTTGCGGGTCATGTATAGAGACGGCTTTATGCTCACCAATCTGGAAATTTGTCATTATGACTCATGAAATGCAAAATGTATCACTAAGAGACGTTGATGACAATTCTCTTTTCAAATTTCATGTTTTTAAAGACCTCGTTTTCTTAAATGTTGGAGGCTGATTAAAAATCAGGATATATAAAATATACTTACTTGATACTCTAAAGAAAAAGATACAACCCTCTGCAGTTGTCCTTACTTGTATTATGCTTATAGCATTCTTTTATGGAGATAAAGGTTTGCCCATCTAGTTGCCACATAGAGGTAAGATTCTACATGAAGTCAGAAGCTCTTTATGAGCCTTTTAACTCCCCTCTGAGGAGATTTAGATTCAGCCTTGGGCTACAGTACACCATTACTGATCTAAGAAAGATTATTCCTGATTTGTCATGTTTAGGGATAAAATTAGTGGTGTGTCTTAGTTATGGTTTCTATTGCTCAGATAAAATACTAAGGCCAAAGTGACTTTGGGGAGGAAAGGGTTTATATGGATTGCACTTGCATATCGCAGTCCATTGAAGGAAGTCAGTGCAGGAACTCAAGAAGGACCTGGAGGCAAAAGGACATGAAGGAATGCTGTTTACTGTCTCTGTCTCCAGTGGCTTACTCAGTCTGCTTTCTTATAGTACCTGGGACTGCCAGCTGAGCCCTCCCACATGAGTCATTCAAGAAAATGCACCACTTTCCCACAGGCCAGTTTGGTGGGACATTTTCTCAACTGAGAGTTTCCTCTTATATATTGAGTCTAGCCGGTATCAAGTTGATAAAATGTTAACCAGCACTCTGGCAGATGTGTCCAACCTGTCACATTTTGATACTGTATTGTCATATACAAAGTTCACACTTGGGAGCTGCACAGTTGAGGTTAAAAATTGCAAAACAAAATTTCAGTATTTAGAGTTAAGTTTATAGTTTTGTGTTTGACTACTTTATAGTTTTGTGTCCGGCTACATTCATAGCAGCACTGAGGTGTGTGCATTCCACATGAGACAGATTAGACACCTGCTAGAATGTGCATGCAAATGGCTTAAATCACTTATTTTGGATTTTTATCAGTCTTGTATCAGAACTTCTAATTTAAAAATATAAAAGTTTGTATTTTTACGTATTTCTTTTGTTTCTGTTCATCACTAGGGAGAAGAGTTAATAGAATATGAGTATATAACTATTAAAAGAAATTGGGCTGAGATGTAGCCTTAGTAGGTTGCATGGCCCTGTATTAAATCCTCAGGCTTTCCAAAAAAAAATCTTACAGTAAGCACTGGGGCATATTAAAGCACAGTGACCAGGTCTGAGACTGCAAGTAGGGAATGCGATACAACAGTGCTTATTGTGCTTGACTAAAGTATAAATGGAGGCTGTTGAAAATATTGTTGAGGCAAGTGAAGAACAGTTGAGAATGGAAGTGGAAAATTTACCAGGAATCTAGAAAGCCTTGGTCAGAAAGCATATGTGAGACCTTTATTAAAGATCTTAAAGTAGGATTACGAAATGTGTGTAGAGTAGGTTTAGGAAGTGTGTGTAGACAGGAGGTGCTGTGTACCATGTGGCAGTTAAGTAGCAGTGTTGTGGCTTGATCATTCCTTCAGTGATGTTGGATACTCAATGGCAGATCTTAAAGGGCTGATGCCTTCCTTTCCAGCACACCTTCCCCTTGGGTAAAAAGTGAAGTATTTTATGCTATAGTTGAGGCTTGGGACTAGTTGGTGGCAGTGATGTGTCCTAGAGAGGTGTTAGTGAGGTGACATGTCCTCTCATATTCTTTGCAATCTATGTAGCATTTTTTTTTTCTTGAGGTTTTTTGAAATTGCTACTGATCCTTCAGAGTGCTTCAAATAGAGGGTTTCCCCTATATTAATATATCTTGGTTCTATTTTAAAAAAAACATTTCAGAAATAATTTTGCAAATAGTGTGATTAAAAGGTACTTTCTTTGGATATAGTAATTTTTTCTTACAATTTGCTTTGATACTACTTTTACCCTGCAAATTTAGTGTTTTTGTTCAGTCATCATTATCTAGTTTTATCTTGTTTTTTTTTATGTCATTGCTAAGCCAGATATTCACCACCAAGCTAAACTCAGTCTGACCTGGTGAGCTTTGACAATCTTGTATGTGATATCTTGGATTTGCTGTCCCTGTTTTTCAAATTTGAAAACTTGAATGGGAACTAAAAGATGCTATGTGTTTAAATCATATTTGTCGTTTAGGGATACAGTCGTTTAGGGATAGTAGATGCCTGAATGAGTATTAGAAGCCATCACTTCAAGTGACTCTTGATCTGAAGACCCTTGCAGTAGTTTAAAAATGTATAGATTTGTTTCCCTTTTAAAACAAACTCTCTTCTGATTAAAGTGTTTTTAGTAGAAAGAAGGCCAAAAGAGGGTTAAGGGTTAATCTCTAATATAACCCGCTTTATTTGCACTTCAGAATTAGAGCCTGTCTCAATCTTCATGTCAGAATAACCTTCCTCATTTCAGTCATCCAGTGGGATAAGCAATAATGCATTCATTTACTTATTTTTAGAAACACAAGACTTATTTTTTAAAAGTAAAAATATTTTCATTTTATTTCCTGAGAAGTAAGTAGTATATATTCAGTGAGTTTACCTATTTATGTACCTAGGTGTCTAAGACAGGATCTTTCCCTGTTAGATCATACTGGCCTTGAAATCAGTGAGTTTAATGGATCAGATGTAGACATGTACATTAGGATCACGAGTTCTATACTTAATGTTTGGTTAGTGGAGACATTTGAGATTATTGAGTATCACTTTTTTTAAATGTGACTATTTTGAATACGGGTCTGTCAGTATTACCATTGCTTTTCAAGGTGGTTATGCTTTTTTAAAAAAATGCTGGACTATAAGGCTGTGGAGGAGAGAGAGTCTTCCTCTGTTGATATGAATCGACCTTATCAAATAATGTGTTAACAGATCACGCCAAACATGGTTCATCTTTCCTGTTTCCCTGTGTGATATTCACTGATAACGGTGGCCGGGTTTTGTTTTTCTTGTGTGACCTCTTGGTCTTTTTAAAAACAGGGATGCGATTCACTGTTGGAAAGTAGCTGTGTCCCTTCAGATAGCTCTGGGAAGGTTTGCTTTGGTGATTTCTGGCAGATTTTAGGAATTAAAGAAATCGAAAAGATGTGGCATTAGTTAATTGAACATTGGTTAGCTTTCCTGTTTGAAACTGTTTTATCTGATTTGTGTGCTGGTTTTTTTTTTTTTTGGTCATGACCAGTGAAGTTTACATTCTAGCACAGGCCTCATGAATGCTATGTGCTGAGTATAAGTTTTCAAGCATTTAGGAGTTAAAGATAAGCAACATTGTTTGTTTCTTTCCTTGAGGGGTCAGAGTGCAGTGAAGAAGATAGATGCAAAAATTCTATTTATATGCTATTTGGGGATAAAGGGAAGGGTTCAGCTTCTGCCCTTCTGACTTGTAATTCTTAAGGAAAGTTTCTGAACAGAGCAAGGAGCCTCCAGATGAACAGGCATCTTTTAGGAAAGTAGCATGGGGTGGGTTAATGGCAGGTAAACTCTGTAAGGTTTGCTTTGATGATTTCTGATGAGTTTAAAGAAGAATGAAGAAACTGAGATGTGACATTAGTTACTTGAACTTTCATTAATCTTTCTGTTTAAAACAATTTAACTGTTTAAAACAGTATGGTTTTCTTGGCTGTACTTGCTTTTCCTCTGAGCAAGGATTTTTCTTGATAATTCTAGTTTTTAGAAACATTTTATGTGTCAGTGTTCATGCTTTTTAATTCCACTGCTTTTCTCAGTATTTAATCTGCAGTAGATATTTATTGCATCTTATATTTGATTTGAAATGACACACAGGACTTTTAATTTTTTCTAATTGTTCAGTGGAATTTTGTAAATATTTTATTTTGTATCTTCACATGTATAGGTTTTGATTTCTCTATGCCACACAAATTTAGTTAGATGCTGAGGGGGAAAAGTGCCACTGCTGTGAGGATTTTTTTTTACTTGAAAGATAATTGGTGTTTTTTTTTCTCATGAGCTATTATTTCCAGATTGATGGGCAAAGTATAAGACATAAGCTGGATTTTAGATTTAGAAAGTTTGTCAATAAATTGTTTTGAAATAGAAAACTTTGGTTTCTTATTAGAATACTTTTAATAGATATTTAAGCTAAATATAAAATAATGGTTGTATTACAACAGAACTTTTCATTATAAATAGAAGAAACTACTTTCAGAATGTATTCCTTCTAGATTTAAGTGGAGATCTTTCATACTCTTAAGAGAATACAATAGTTGAATTTGTTTTAAAATTCACCCAAATAAGAAGTAGCCATCAGTTTTAACATTTTCAGTTTTAACATTTGACAAAATTCACTTTCACATGACCAAATGATAAGACCAAAATTCCATTAACTCAACTATGTGTCTTTGACCCTGGAAGAGGGACTAGTTCTTTTGAAATGTGTATATTCCAATTGAAAATTTCTTTAAGATTCTTTGATGACCTCATATTCATCATAATTCTTATCTTGATAGCACTTATTTTA